GCTTCTTGTTCCTAGTAGCGATGCCAGGAGCCCCTAGTAGCTTCTTGAAGCCCCCTGGATCGAATGGTGCAGAGCACCGCCCTCCGCTAGCGGAGCCGGACCGTGGCCACGCCGCCATGGACTGCACTTGGCTCCTGCTGGCCCTGTTGATGAGCATGGCGCCATCGATCCATCCTGGTCCCAATGCCAGGTGCGCCTTCATGAACACGTTCAACGAGCAAGAGCGGCTTTCTGCTCAGAACAACACGTTTCTTTTTTGGAGTTTTTAGGCGCAGGGGGTGAGGGTCGAGCCACGGCCATGCGTGGCTCGGGAGGGGTGAGAAACCCACCTTCCATCAAAGGGAAATTCCCCGAAGATCATGGTACAGGGCATGCAGAGTCCCACGGGACACCGTTGAGGGCCCAACGCCATCACACGAAGAGATCTTTCACCAGGGCATTGAGGAGGCTGCACCAGACTGGCTTTTGCGTCTACCGCGGCAGGGTTCATGTCCAAGCACCGGCTGCTCCGGCTACTCTGCCAACACGAAAGATGACCACCTGTGAGCCAAAGAGAGCACCTGGACCGCGGCTCAACTGCATCAGCTGGAATTGCGGTGGCCTGACATCAGAAGCATACCATGAGCTGTTAGTCTGGCTGTCCCTGCACTCCATAGACATTTGCTTCCTCCAGGGAACACGATGGGCACTTGTTGAGCCTTGGGTTAGTAGCGGGTTTGCATTCGTACCATCACCACCACAGGTCAACGGTCACGACGGCCTTCTCACCATCATCAAGACTCAACTTTGTGCTCCTGAAGCCATCAGTCATGCCACGGCCCTTGAAGGCCGTTTGCAACATGTCCGGTGCCACATGGGTTGCATTGCCATTGACCTAGTTAATTGCTATCAGCATCCCAACATCCCCGCTAAGTCTAGACCTGATCCCATTAGTGCGCGCGATGAATTTTGGCAGGCTTGGGAAAATCTGCTCGTTAGATTGCCGTTTCGCAATCTTTTGCTTGTTGCAGGTGATTTCAACTGCACCATGGACAAGCCGAAAGCCAGTCGATTCAAGCAGGTCCAATACCCGGATCAAGAAGTCTTTAAGACAATCATCAACCGGTTCTCACTCGCTTCGGTCAGAGTCCACGACCCCTATCATAGCTACCAAGGCCCTGCGGGTAACTCTAATATTGACTATGTCTTTGCACGACGTCCACAATTGGACCAGCTTGCTCGACAAGCTTGTTGCATCAGGTCCTTCCCTGTCAACTCGCATCGTGACTATCCTGATCATGCACCGATTGCTTGCACCATACCTTTGAACTGGAAGGCATGGCAATGTCAACACAAAAAACAAACATCACATCTGAATCGTCACACCATCCAAACATCACATCTGGTTGGCCTTCGAAGAACACATGGATCAGGAACTCAGGCAGGCAGCTGCCCATTGTGACACTACTGATTGCCTAACTGGTACTGTAGTTCGTGTCTGTGCTGAGCATTTTCGAGTCAAGCGTGAACCGCCTGAAGCTGTTTGGAACATGTATTCCACCAGGTCTTTGGTAGCCCAGAAGTGGAGACACCTCCACCTTGCGCGTCATCCTCAGTCACATGTTGGTCCCATCCGTCAGGCCTTTCAAGCATGGGTCCATGTTGTCAAGTTCATGCAACTTAGGACTCGACTCCGTCACCATTGCAAAGCCCAGAAACGTGCACGTATTCATCAAGTCATTCAGGAAGCCACTCAAGCTGCAAGCAGACATGATGCCAAAAGTTTGTATCTTGCCATTCGAACCCTGACTCCAAAACAACCACGACGTCAGATCAGATTTCGACAAGCTGGCATGGCTCAATCACCACAGGACGAGCTCGATCACCTGCTGACTCACTTCGAAGCCATCTTTCGAGCCACATCCTCAGAACTTCCTCCATTATCCCCCTTGGATGTCCCCTTCTCTCAGGAGGATCTTGAATGTGAACTTCGTGCCATCCGGATGGACAAGGCAGTAGCTCCTGGAACCATTCCACCACTGCTACTTCGACATTTTGCTTGTCGCTTTGCACAATGGACCCACAGGTTTCTGTCCGCCACCTGGACACAGAGCACACCATGCATTCCGTCCACCTGGAAGGACGCAACGTTGACACTTCTTGCCAAACGCGCAGTTCACACACCAAATGACCTCAGACCAATTGCTCTTACATGTGGTCTTGGGAAAGCTGTGCTAGGAACTGTGGTGAAGCAAGTGCAAGCCAAGATTGCTCCTACCTTACTAGCCTTTCCCTTGTTCGCGTACACTGCACAGAGAGGAGTGTTTGAAGCCCTATGTTATGCCTTTGACCACTGCCATCAGGTTCGATCCACCTGCGTGCAAGCCAATCCTTCTCATTGGCTGAAAAAGGCAGGACACACCAAGCCCTTGCTGGTTGGAGGCTTGATGCTATCACTCGATTTGACCCAAGCTTTTGACAGGCTACCTCGCTCCGCATTGTATGAGGGCCTCCTCCTTCGTGGATGCCCGCCACCGGTAGCATGTTTGCTTGTCAATTGGCTAGAAGATGCCAAATACGGGATCAACCACAGAGGTTTACATGCTGACATCCTTACCACATGTGGAGTTCGTCAGGGCTGTCGTGGTAGTCCCATGGAGTGGAATGTCTTCATGACTGTCATTTTGGAAGCCTTAAGCGCCAAGTTTGACATGCCGGTTGATCACCTGATCCACCGCCTGATATGTTTTGCTGATGATCTCCTGCTTCGCTGGAAAATCGCCTCCATGCATGATGTCCACCAAGCATTTGTTAACATCGGTCAAACACTCGACGTTCTTGAGAGTTTTCAACTTAAAACGGTCATCCTGCTCCGCTTGGAGGGCTCTCAAGCGGCCAAGACAGGTAAGCTTTTCCTTGTTAAGACTAATGAAGGCACCTTTGCGAAAATTCCTAGAACCAATGGCACCACGTTGATCCCGGTTGTGCATAAGCATACTTATCTAGGTTGTCAACTCTCATATCATCGATTTGAACAACTTACCATCAACCACAGAATTCACATTGGCCGGACAGCATTCCAACGACTGCACCCGTGGCTCGCCACGCGCCATTCAGTCACTTCTAGAACCAGAGCTCAAGTGTGGAGGACGTGCATTTTTAGCTCGTACATCCACGGTCTTGCAGCGGCTGGCTTGACACAGGCCGGACTCCACAAGCTGATATTTCGTTGCAATGCTGATATCCGTACTGTAGGTCAGTCTCCCGGGCACATCACACATGAGACCAATCATGACATCACTCGCCGATTGGGCATTGTTGAACCTCTAGTCCTTGTGCAGGAACAGTGGCAGAAGCTCTTCGACAGACTGGCACAAAACCAGGCTCAGCTACCACCGCGTGACTTCCTTCGCACTATGCCTCTGTCCGTATTGTCCCCAGCTCTTCGAAACCATGGCACAATTTAATAGACACATGATAGTGACGCACAAAATCACTCGTGTCCATAATAACTTTCAGATTGAACGTGATGCCCTGTCAAGCAGACCACAATGTCGCCACTGCCACTACCGCTTCCCTGACTGGAGAGGCCTGCGTCGACACATCATTGATGATAGCTGTCCATTGTTCGATCCAAACCAAAGCCTCCAGGAGCCACCTGCAGACCAAAGAATTTTCCGTGAATTTGCACAAGCAGATGCCTGGATGGCATTGATTGAGCAACCAGAGCTCATCCGAGTGCTTCGCGAACACTGTGTCCTATGTGGCAAACAATGCCTCACAGGGAAAGCCATGTTAGAGCACCTGAACCTCAGCCACTACGACATGTGGAACGAATCCAAGATTCATGCCCCAGTGATCATCAATGCATTGAGAGATGCCCGCCCGTGCCAGGCCTGTGGTGTCACTACACCCAAGGCACACGCGTGCCATGTGATTAGACAAATGGCCATTGCGCACCTGCTGCAGCACTCTGATATGATAGGAAGGCCAAGGACTTGGTCCAGGGGAAAGCAATTGCCCCCATGCCTCCGAAACCAGCTGAGCACTGGCAGCTCCCTGATTCTGGCCAAAGGATACGTCAGACACCCAGGACGGCCCAGAGTTTCAAATCCATCCACACGTACCATCCAGGCAGGGACAGCGCTGATGGCACTCCCACTTGTGCCCACTGC